CCACAAACACACGAGTGACTGTGCTCTGCAGGCCGCACTCACGCGCCGATGAGAGGGCTGAGGGGAGCAGCAACGCGCAGATGACCCCATGAAATATAAACTATGTGCGGACACATGGAGGGTCAGACGGTTGAAAGACATGTAATTATTTAATTTTCTTTTTGGGCAAAATAAAAAAAAAATACAGCTTGGTATGGCCACACGGTAAGCAGCCGCTTTTTTGTTTTTGTTTTTGTTTGGAACAGTAATAGAGGACGACTTTTTCTTTTTTATTTTTATTTGTGTGGAACAGTAATAGAGGACGACTTTCTTTTTTTTTTTTTTTGTGTGTGTGGAACAGTAGTGGAGGAAATCTTTTTTTTTTTCTTTTTTGTGCGTGGGGTTAAAATGTGAGGAACGGGAAATTTTTTGTTTTGTTTTTAAATGAATGTTGTTTGATTTGTTATTGCTTTCCGCCGTGGACCCCTGCTGTGCATTTGTGTTTTTGCGTCCCTTCAGATGCTTTACGCCTCTTCTCTTTTTTCCCCTTCCTTTTTTCCTACTTTGTTGAGCGTGGCAGTGGGCGCACACAGCCACACGCGCAGGACAAACACATTGCAGTGCAGGTGGATGCTTCCTTTGTACTCGGTGCTGGCAGTTGCGTGCAGCTGCCGCCTTCTTCCGTGGGCGTGAGGAGAAAGGAGGAGAGAGAGTGCGCACCGCGAGTCTTTTTTTCTGTTGACGTGATGCACCGCGTGTGACCGTACTGAGTGGGGCGCCGCGTCATGGATGGATAAGGATCCGCCTGCGCGTGTGGCTCTTTGGGCGATTGCTGGCTCTGTGAGCGTTGCGTGTTGTCTGCAGGGCCGTGGCCGTATCCTGTTCGCAGCGGGATTCAACTGGAGGCGGAGGCGGTGTGTCTCCTTTTCTCGTCCATTGTGGTTGAATGCGGGCGGTGTGTGCGTTTGTTGTGTAGAGGACCGAATCCTCTCACCCGCGGACTGACAGCACTGCGATGGTGTGTGTGTGTGTGTGTGTGTGAGGGCGATGGTGCTCCGCGCTGTTCCTTCCGGATTGTCTTGTGTCCCGCTCTCTGCGTGGGTGCTCTGCTCTGCTCCCCACGGACGTGTCTGATGTACTGCCGCTTTTTTCTTCCTTCACTTGTTGAACACAGACACACGCTAGGAAGGAAAGCAAACAAACGCGAAACGCTACTGTGAGATTCGAAGGCACTGAAAGCGCCAACAACAGCACACACACACATTTTTATATGCTCTCACGTGTTGCTGCAGATAAGGCACCCAACAAACACAACCGTCGCCGCGTGACCGGATCCAGCGGAAGGAGGAGGGAAGGAAGAGAGGGTGAGCAGCAGAGACCCAACATGTCCCGGCATGTGTTTACTTCGGCGGTGTTGCTGCTCCTCGTCGTCGTGACAATGTGCTGTGGAACCTGTGGAGCTGCGGCCGCTGGAGGGAATAATGGGAAGAGTGTTTTAATAAATATTCATAAGCTGCGGGGAGTCGATCTATTTGTGCCGCAGACGACGCTGGTGCTGCCGAAAGAGGGGACTGCTGCAGGTACGCCGAGGGATTCATTTGTTACACCCTCTCTCGTCAGTGCCGGTGGAGTAATTGCTGCTTTCGCCGAAGGTCAGACGAACGCCCAAAAAGACGGTGCTCAATCAATTACGCACCTTTACTCTGACGTTGTTGCGGGGTACATTGATTCTAAGTGGAATTGGTCCACTCTTGTTGCTGAGATCAATAAAAGTACATGGAAGGCACACACCGTGCTTACTGCAACGGAGGCAAGAGAACAAAGTTTGGTTGTTTTCCGCCAACCGACAACAATTACGAGGGGCAATAAGGTGTTTCTTCTTTCGGAAAGCTCTCTTTGGTCCTATTCACACGGGAACTTTTATTGGGACAGATTGGACCTTAAACTGGTTGTGGGTACTGTCACGAATTCTACGGGCGGCGAGCCGAGTAAACGGATCAGCTGGGACAACCCCAAATCGCTGTTAAGCGTGAACATTTCCGCTGCTTCTTACGAAAGTAAATTTGAGAGATTTTTTCCTTCTGGTGGCTCAGGTGTTCTGATGAACAATGGCACGCTCGTGTTTCCCGTGATTGCGTTTGATGGAAAAGATGAGGGTCACTCCATGATCATTTATTCGACGGACGACGGCGCAAAATGGATGCTTTCGAATGGAACGTCTCCTGCGAAATGCGAAACCCCCCGCGTCACCGAATGGGAGGGATCACTTCTCATGATTGTTGATTGCGAGGTTGGCCAGAGGGTGTACGGGTCGCGTGACATGGGGACAAAGTGGACGGGGACCATCGGGACACTCCCAGGCGTGTGGACCAAGTCAAAATCGACAGCCATTTTGGATCTGAGCTTTCATGTGGATGCCCTCATCACCGCGACCATTGAGGGCAGGAAGGTCATGCTGTACACTCAGCGAGGGAACGCCTCGGGGAATGAAACGGAAGGAGCGCTCTATCTTTGGGTCACGGACAACATCCGCTCGTTTTGTGTTGGGCCGGTTGCCATGAGGGATGGTATGAATTGGTTGTTCACCAGCAACCTGCAGTACTCGGATGGTAATTTGCATCTTTTACAACAGAGGGAAAAAGATAAAGCAGTGCCTTGTCGCTTTCTCGACTGACGGAGGAACTGAGTACAATCAAGTCCGTCCTCAGTACTTGGGCGCAAAAGGACGCCTTCTTCTCCAAATTGACCATACCCACGGCGGGTCTGGTGGCAGTTTTGTCCGGTGCGGCCAGCAATGGCACGTGGATCGACGAGTACCTTTGCCTGAATGCGACGGTGACGCCTAATGCAAAGAAGGTCAGATATGGATTTCAATTGACGGAGCCTAGCTCCAGGGTATCATGGTCCGTGAACACTCAGGCCAATAATGTGCGTCATGTATCCTTGAGCCACAACTTCACACTTGTGGCGTTGGTGACCATCGAAGAGACTCCGAGTGGGAACACTCCTCTACTGACTGCGACGTTGGCGGACACTAATTCCAATCATACCATGGGACTGTCGTATACGGCGGATAAGACGTGGGGGACGGGGCTCAAAGGCAATAAAACAACACAGAGCGGCCGTTGGGAGCCGAAGAAGGGATACCGAGTGGCACTCATGCTGCAAGGCAAAAAGGCCTCTGTGTACATTAATGGTAATTCGCTGGGGGAGGAAGAAGTGCCGTTAAAAGGTGAGGCGCCACTTGAGCTTGTACGCTTTTGCTTTGGCGCGTGCGGTGAGGATGCCGGCCAGAAAACTAAGGTGACGGTGACGAACGTGTTTCTGTACAACCGCCCACTGAATTCCACTGAGATAAATGCACTCAAGGACAAGGCCCACACTTTGAATGGCCCAGGGGAGGCACTGGCGGGGTGGGCAGCTCTGGAGGGAGCTGCCGCCAGAGAACATGCGGCTGTGGTGGGCTTGACGTCTGCTGGGAGCGGACTGCTGCCGCTGCTTCTTCTGCTGGGACTGTGGGGCTTTGCGGCTGCGTGAGGAGTGTGCGGCCTCAGTGGGGAACACTTGCGCTCTCCTCTGCAGCGACAAACACACACCGCTAGGAATATATTTTACTACGCAGAGAATAATTTCTTTTTTTTTTCTTAATTACTTTCCTTCCCTTTTGCTTGATGATTTAGGGCAACCACCATGGAATTTTTCTTTTTTACTATTCCCTCTTTTTAATTGCTTCTTGCTGCACTCTTCCTGTGAGGGGTGCCGTGTGTTTCCGCCCAACTGCTCCACTCGCACACCCACCGACACGCTCATGACGACGGCCCTGTGCGCCTCGCCTGCTGCACGCATGAGGAGGGGCCGCGACGAACGGCGCGCTGAGGGAGCCGTGACGTGTGGGCGTGCGACGAGGGCCTGTGGGGCGGAGCACACATTTCTTTCCCTCTTTTTTTGCTTTTATTGCGGCCAGGGCGGGCAGACACCCGTAGCGCCACACACACAGCCACACCCTGCCGCCGTGTTTTTTTTTTTCTCTTTTCTTTTTTTTTTTTGCTGCGCTCACACTTCCGATGGAGAGACGCGACTGCCGTCATGTCTGCGTGCTTCTCTCAGTCCCCACAAACACACGAGTGACTGTGCTCTGCAGGCCGCACTCACGCGCCGATGAAAGGGCTGAGGGGAGCAGCAACGCGCAGATGACTCCATGAAATATAAACGATGTGCGGACACATGGAGGGTCAGACGGTTGAAAGACATGTAATTATTTAATTTTCTTTTTGGGCAAAATAAAAAAAAAAACTTGGTATGGCCACACGGTAACCAGCCGCTTTTTTTTTTTGTGTGTGTGTGTGTGTGGAACAGTAATAGAGGACGACTTTTTCTTTTTTATTTTTATTTGTGTGGAACAGTAATAGAGGACGACTTTTTCTTTTTTATTTTTATTTGTGTGGAACAGTAATAGAGGACGACTTTTTCTTTTTTATTTTTATTTGTGTGGAACAGTAATAGAGGACGACTTTCTTTTTTTTTTTTTATTTGTGTGGAACAGTAGTGGAGGAAATCTTTTTTTTTTTTTTTTTTTGTGCGTGGGGTTAAAATGTGAGGAACGGGAAATTTTTTGTTTTGTTTTTAAATGAATGTTGTTTGATTTGTTATTGCTTTCCGCCGTGGACCCCTGCTGTGCATTTGTGTTTGTGCGTCCCTTCAGATGCTTTACGCCTCTTCTCTTTTTTCCCCTTCCTTTTTTCCTACTTTGTTGAGCGTGGCAGTGGGCGCACACAGCCACACGCGCACGACACACACATTGCAGTGCAGGTGGATGCTTCCTTTGTACTCGGTGCTGGCAGTTGCGTGCAGCTGCCGCTTCCTTCCGGGGCGTGAGGGGAAAGGAGGAGAGAGAGTGCGCACCGCGAGTCTTTTTTTCTGTTGACGTGATGCACCGCGTGTGACCGTACTGAGTGGGGCGCCGCGTCATGAATGGATAAGGATCCGCCTGCGCGTGTGGCTCTTTGGGCGATTGCTGGCTCTGTGAGCGTTGTGTGTTGTCTGCAGGGCCGTGGCCG